TAAAACCAGATTTAAACATTACATATCCACAAATCCAGCCCCATAGAAAGTACTAGAAGGAAAACTTAACCCAAGGCAGTTACTGCAACTAACAAAACACTGGCAATAGATAAAGTTACACCAGCAAATCCTAATGAAGGGAAACACCACCCAAACAACAACAACAAAAGAAAATAACAGGAATTAACAGTCACTGGGCAATAATATGCCTTAATATCAATGGAATCAGTTCCCCTATAAAAAGACAAAGGCTAACAGAATGGATACAAAAACAGGATCCATCTTTCTGCTGCATACAAGAAACATACCTCAACCTCAAAGACAGACACTCCCTCAGAGTAAAAGGCTAGGAAAAAATATCCAATCAAATGAACCTAAAGAACAAGTGGGTGTAGTTATCCTAATATCTAACACAATAGACTTCAAACAAAAAACAAATAAAACAGATGAAAAAGGGCATTTCATATTCATCACAGGAAAAAACCATTACGATGTAGTCTCAATTTTTAACATTTATGGCCTTATTACAAGGGCACCTACATTTGTAAAGAAAATATTACTAACGTGCAGCTGGAGTTATCTCCAGTCTCACCCGGACCTGGAGCCACTCAGACCCAAATAAACACACAGAGACTTATATTATGTATAAACTGTATGGCCATGGCAGGTTTCTTGCTATCTTGTTCTTATATCTTAAATTAGCCCATTTCTATTCTTCTATACCTTGCCACATGGCTCATAATTTACCAGTATCTTTACATGTTGCTTCTTCTGGCGGCAGCTACCAGTGTCTCCTGACTCAGCCGTCCACTTCTCACAATTCTCCTTGTCTGTTTATCCAGCCTATACTTCCTGCCTGGCTACTGGTCAATCAGCGTTTTATTTATTTATCAATCAATCAGAGCAACACATTCACAGCTTATAGAACATCCCACAGCACTAAAGCTCAAATCACACATCAAACCCCACACCCTAATAGTGGGAGACTTCAACACCCCACTTTCACCACTGGACAGGTTGGCCATACAGAAATTTAATAGAGAAATAAGGAAACTAATAGATGTTAGGACTCAAATAGACATAACAGACATCTATAGAACATTTCACCCAAACACAAAAGAATATACATTCTTTTAAGCACCCCATGGAACCTTCTCCAAAATTGACCACATACTTGGTAACAAAACAAATTTCAACAGATACAAAAAAAATGGAGAAACCCCCTGTATCTTATCAGACCATCATTGCTTAAAGTTAGAAATCAACAACAATACAAAATGCAGAAAGCTACAAACTCATGGAAACTGAACAATGCTCAGCTGAATCACCAATGGGTCAAGGAAGAAATAAAGAAAGAAATTAAAGACTTCCACAAATTCAATGAAAAAATGAATGCACAACATACCCAAACTTATGGGACACTTTGAAAGCAGTGCTAAATGTCTGCTCCAAAGGCATTCTGTGTTTTTTCCTTCCCAGATGCATCTCAATAACAGGAAGCATCCAGGAGACTTCTCTTGCTCATGTCTAAGCTTTATTAATTTTGATGGTATCCACAACTTCTAATCTCGTCCAGAAACATGAGCATAACCTCAACCCCATCCTAACACCTTTCCCATTTTCCATACTGATGTTAAGGCAACCTGTCAGTACAGACAAGTTTTTTGTATGGTCCAATGCCTGTCAGTAGCTGTTGTTACTGTTTCATTAGCAATTAAAAAATTTAAGGTAAGTCAGGCATTGTGCAGTCCATCCCAGGGGTCCTCATATCATCCTTCTGTTTGACAAGCATCTCCTTTAGAGTGTTATTAGGTCTTTCAACAATTGCTTGTCCAGTAGGATTATATAGTATCTCTGTAATGTGTTTTATGTTGTAACCTGTAAAAAAAAAGTGTCATTTTGTAGGAGATATATGTGAGGTGTTATCATTTTTATTTTGCATTGGTATGCCCATTATAGCCTTTGTTTCTAATAAAAGTGTAATTATAGAATCAGCCTTTTCAGAACTTAATGCAGGTGCCAATTAAAATCCAGAGTATGTATTAAGGATATGATGAATGTGTTTAATTTTCCAAATTCTGCTAAATGGAATACATCCATTTGCCAA